AAAAAAAAAAAAAAAAAAAAAAAAAAAAAAAAAAAAATATGAATATATAAACAAAAAGGTTTTTTCAAAATATAAAATAAATACAAAAAAAAAATATTGAAGTGTTAAGATTATTCTTGATATGGAAATTAGTTATATATTATTCAGTATGACTTTTATAGACAAATGAATTTTATTCTTTTAATTTTATGCTAAAAGCATTTACTTACGCTCAATACATTTATTATATACTAAAAATACTAATTTAAATTAGTATTCAGTAATATGATTCTTAACACGATTAACACTTAAACAGAAAAAATAAAAATAAAAAAATATTTTTTTTCATATATGGAATAGATTTTATACCAATTATTTTGTTAATATATATATAAGTTTATATTAAAAACTGAAAAAAAAATAATATACATAATCACTTTTCTAAAACAAATATGTATAAATAAATACTTGGATGGATATATTTATAAATCATATCTCATAATCTTGAGCAAAAACATGATGAAAAAAAAAATAATCAAATTTTTTTAATAATAGGGAGAATAATTAACGTAGAAATAGCAAAAAGAAATGAACCACATGAACCAACACCAGGAGAATATAAGGGAGTTCAAAGTATTTTATATTTTTTCATACATATTTATAAATTTATTTTCATTTTTTTTTTTTTTTTTTAATCATTTATTTTTAAGATATGATGAAAAGAAATGGAATACGACATGATTTTTATGGAAAAAAATATGATAGGTCATATGATAAAAGGAGATATGAATCTAGGAGGTAAATTGAAATTATAAGAAAATAATATCTTCTTCATTTTTAAAATTTATTTTTTTTTTATCCCATTGATTGTGTTGTATATTTATATTCTAGGATTTTTTTCTAATATATTATTTTAATTTTATTCATAATATTATATATATAATTGTTATATTAATTGTATAGCAATCCATAAAATTTTTTTTTTTTCATATGTAATATGCATGTATATATATATATATATCTTTTTTTTTTTTTTTTTTGTTTTTTTTTGTTAGAGCTAATCCTTATAATAAAGAACATATAAAAAGTTTTAGTTATAGGAATAATTCTTACAGAAATTATGATAAATATGGAAGAAATAAATATAGTGATTATAGAAATTATGATAGGAGATCAAATGATAACAAATATCATAGAAAAAATGAATATTACAAAAGAAATAATAGAAGTAGTGATGATGAAAAAGGATATTCAAGAGATGAGAATAAAAAAAAAAAGAGATATGAAAAAAATAGAAAATCTTCTAGTAGTTCTAATAGTGAAAGGAGACGCTACAGAAATTCACCAATAAATAGGTTAATTAATAATTTATAAATATATATCAAAAATTAATTTTTTTAAATTATCATTACCTGTATGTATACATATATATATATATATATACGTATATATATTTATTTATTTTTTAGAAGTCCACGTTATAGAAGAAAATAAAATAAAATATTCCAAAACGGGCTGTTAATTTTTGTATATTTTAATCGTTTTATTACAATTTTTTTTTCAAAACTAAAAAATTAATGTTTGGATGTTCATAAAAATACAAATTTTTAAGTTTTTAAATTGAACACTAAAAAATAATATTTTTTTCATTTTTTAATCCTAATAATTATATTGAAAACCAACAAAATTTTAAAAAAAAATTAAGAAAACATAATGAAATATCATATAAAAAAAAAAAAAATATTACTTCTTTTGTAATTAAACATATTCATCATCAAATCTCCACCTTTTTAATAATTTATTGTAACTAGAAAAAAAAAAAAAAAAATAAATAAAATAAATGAGCAAATAAAAAATTATAATTAAAAATTTAGTTACAAATACAATAATAAGTAATATACATTTCTATGAAATGAGAAAAAAAAAATGTCTTTTTAATATTTTTTTTTTAAATATTAAGTTATACTTAAAAAATTTTAGAGGTAAATCTGCTTTTTTTCTACAATAATTTTCACACATTTGTAACCACGTCATTAATTCTTCCCTAGTTTCAGCCCTTTTTAATTTATTCATATTTATAAAAAAAAATAAAATAAAATGAGAGTAATAATTACTATATATTTAAACTAATATTAAAAATTATTTTATTTATTATTGTGATTTTTACCTGATAGGGTAAATTTTTAAAAATTCAGTAAAACAATTTTTCCCTTTTCCTTCAATGCATTGATCAGGAAAATATGAATAAAAGGAATGGACATATTCTTTTTCTGATTCTGAAAATTTATCATTTAAATAAGATGCAAAAACCCAAAACAAAAACCACTGAGCATGACATGGATGTTTAATGTTATTTGAATTTAAACTTTCATCAAGTAAGTAAAAATTTTGTTTTTTTATTTTTTCCATTTCAGAATTTTCATTATCTTCGGTGTATTCTTGAGTATTTTTTTCATTATTCATATGCTCTTTTTGCTCTATATTATTATATTCCATATTTCTTATATTTAATGGCAAAGATTCCCTTGTGCAATTATCTATAATTTCATTATTTCTATCGTCTGAACTTTTATCAATACTTTTTTTTGTGTAAATATCTTCAAATATCTTAAAAGGTACTTTATTCCCCATAACTATTTTTTTGTTTTTTTTTCACATAATAAAAATATTCCTTTAAAAAAGTTAATACATAAAATATATTTTTATTTTTGACAATTGCAATAATTTTCTACTGTTAGTATTGATCTTCTCTATAGTAATTTAATTATTATTATTATTCTTTTTATTTTTTTATTTTTCTTGTTTTCTTTTTTTTTTTCCATAAAACATTAAAATACATTTTTTTTTTTAAACGGATAAAGGAAAAATAAGTTAAATATAACTAATAAAGAAATACCCTTATGAATAATTTTAAAGGAAGAATAAAAATAATATTTCTCTATTTATGTTCAAATTTAAAAAAAAAAAAGAAATAAAAAAAAATAAAAACATTCGATATTGTTATTTATATATTTTAAATTTTAAATAAATTCATATAATTTGATTTTTATTTTTTTTAATATGTAAATTGAAACTTTAATAAATTATCGAAAGTTCTTATTTATTTTATTTACAAATATATCAAGTAAAAAATTATTTATTTTGTTATTCTTTTATATAGTTTAATGTAAGAATATACCTTTTTTTACCCTAAAATAAATTAATAATTTTATATTTGTTATAGTTATATTTATCTACAAAAAAAAAAAAAAAAAAAAATCTAGTGGTAAGTAAAAAATATTGATTTTCAATTACACATAATATAATTAAGCTTAAATTTAGGAATACTTTAAGTAGGTAAACATGTAAAATAAGAAAATTGTAATATTTAGAATGCAGTAAAATTGTATATGATTTTAATATGTTAAATAATGAAAGAAAATTAAAAACGAAAAACATGATTTCTAATTATTGTATAAAATAATATATTATAAATTATTTATATGATATAATATTGTTAAGAAAAAAACATAGATTAAAATGAGTTTTAAAAGAAAAGAAAAACTATTATTGATGTAATGAAAAAGAATAAAGAAAGTCGAATAAAAATTAGTGAATTTATTATTTTTTTTTTTTTTTTCCCCTAAAGTGTTAAAAAGTCACAATGTTTGCTGTAAAATCAAATGTTCGACATAAACATATTTATCTTTTATTATTTTGCTTTTTTATAAAATTACTTATAATTTTATGTAACAAAAGGACTTTAAAAAACAAAAACACTCTTAAACCCAAATGGAAGAAATATTATGAATTACAAATAAATAGAAAAAAAAAAAGTAAATATGTAAGTTTTATATATTTTAATAATATCTATAAGAAAGTAGATGTTAATGAAAAAGAATATAAATTAAATGAAGACCTAAAAAATTTAATATTATTGTTTGGTAGAATAGCAGAACACTACTACCCTAATACAGTAGAACAATTTAATTTTTTTAAAGAGCCATATAGTAAATATATTTATACAAATGATAGTAAAAATTCTAAAAAGTGGAAATCTGTTTTTAATAATAAAAAAATTAATAAAAGCATATTTTATGAAAGAATATGTGAATTAAAATTTAAATGGCCAATTAATCAAGATGAAAATATTACAGAATATAGTTTCTACAATTTAATTATTGAGAAATGCTTAAATAATATTAACATAATCAGACACAATATTCATAATTTAAAATTGTTTTTAACTAAAATGATAGAAAATAATAAAAATAAAGAAAATGTCTTCTTACATTATTTGTACAATGAATTAGAGAAAGAGTCATTAAATAGTGAAAAAACTTTATCCAATGATGAATTAATAAATGATAAAAATATAAAACTCCTGGAAAAATTGAAAAATATAGATTTAAATAATATTTTTAAGCAATATAATAGATCATACAGTAGATCACTTGTTAATGAAGTTTTTAATAGGGAATATCCGTCCAAAAAAACAACAGATTTATTTTTATATTTAATTTTTCAAAAAAATGTTGATGAATTTACTTTTGAATATTTTTCAAAGTATTTAAGCAAACTAGGGAAAAAAATAGAAATTTATAACTGCAACCATAATTCAAATATATATTTTGATCATTTTTTTTTTCTCATGAAAAATGAACTTAAGAAAAACTCCTTTTCTCTTAAAAGAAAAAAAGTAAATGGGACTTCAAAAATTACAAAATGTAAAAAAGATAATAACTCAAAGAATATTTTTTTGTCAAAAAGCAAAATTAACTTAATTGAAAATCAGCAAAATGCAGAAAGTAATAAGAAAACAAAAAAGAAAAACTCTGTAATTATAGATGAAAACACAAATAAATTTAATAAAATCCGTGAAAAAGAAAAAGATGAAAAATATTACGAACTAGAAAACATACATAAACAATCAAATATGGCAAAACAAAAAATTTCAGATAATGAAAAAAATACAAAAAAAAATGATAAATTGAACACAAGTATTCATATAAATTCTAATACAAGGGATAATTTTAAAAACAAAATAATTTCATTTTTTAGTTACATTGTAAATAAAATAAAAAATGGTTTTTAATAATTTTTCCATATTTTATTTTAATTTTTATTAATTTTCTATACATTTCATTTTTTAATTTAATTTTTTATTTTATTTTAAAATATATATTTTCCAGCAATTCTTTAGTTCAAAACATTCTTAGTAATTGGAATATGTATATTTTTATAAATGTAGACATATATATTTTAATTATTTTCATATGGATATATAATGATAAATGAATTAGACATTTTGTATCTTATTATATTTTATTCCTTTAATTAATTTAATTTGTTACATTTTATTTATAAAAAATAATTAAAAATTATTTCTGAAATAATATTATTTTTAATATATATTTTTGTTTGTGGCTTATCTTTTTTTTATTTTCATTTTAAGATACATGTGCTTTATATATTATTTCAGATTGTAGAATTCTTTTCTAAATAATATTTATGTTATTTTAAATAAAATATTAATGAATTTATTTATACTAAAAAAAACATTGCATTAAAAATTTTTCATTATATCTAACAAAAAAAAAAAAAAAAAGGTATAAAAAAAATAAACAATGTCTATATCATCATTTATTTAAAATCCTTTTTTTTGCTTTATCTGTAAGTCCCTTTTAGATAATATAAAAATATAAAATTTTTTATTACTCTTCATTATTTGAAGTTATTTTAATGAAAATAAAAAAAAAAAAAAAGTTTCAATAAGGTGTAATTTTTTTTTTTTTTTTTTTTTTGTGCAACTTAATATGAAATTTTTTATTACAATTAATTCCATTTTATTTTTATGTTCAATTCTTCAATTCAAAAAATTATCAAATAAAAATAAAGAAATATTGTTATTTCTTCTATTATTCCGCTTGTATATTATTTATTTTTTTTTTTTTAATCTCCTTCTCCTTTTTCATTTAAATAATGTAAAAATATATCTCAAAGAAAAAAGAACACGAATTTTAGGATTTTTTAGTTCATATGTTTAATTTTATAATTAAAGTTACAATAATTTTTTTTTTATTTTTTTCGACTTATTTTTTTTTTAATTTATCTTCTTTTATCATTATTACTACTAAACCATATAAATATTGAACAAATGAGGAGAAGGCTTTGTAAAATAAATTTTAAACACTTCTAAGATATATTTTATTTTTTAATAGGAGTTATAAAATATTTTTTAAATTATTTTTTTTAGTATTTTTTTTTTTTTTTTTTATTATTTAAAGTAATGAAATTTTTAATAAGAGTCAATTCATTGTTTATGAAATATATTTGTACATAAATGATTTCATTTATTTATTAAAATTTACACATTTTTTTTTTTTTTTTTTTTTTTAACATCTGTTTGTCATATATTTTGTACAATATATATATTTACATACTAAATATCTTTCTGAATGTTAATGTAATATGTCTTTAACTTTGAAATATCTTTTTATATATTTATAATTATTAATATATATTTTATATGTAAAATAAAATAAAAAGAACAATAAGAAAAAAAATGTTGGGTAAATTTATTTCTGACACATACAATAAAGTAAAAAGTAAAGCTGATGAAGTCAGGTTACATGTTAGTGCTCAAGCAATAAAAGCTAAAGAAGTTTTTGGTTTAATAAAGCCAACAACCATAGAAGAGTTAGAAGTATTATTAAATTATGAGTTGCAACAAATTGATACAGCTGAAGCATTAATAAATATATATAAAAAATGGATATATAATATATGCCAATCTGAAAAAAGCGATTGTATAAGATATTATAAATCTGAGAATAAGAATAATGAAAAAAACTTGTCATCTCATGTAAAACATAACATTATTGACAATGTTATTGAAATAAAAAATGAAAATAATGAAAAGAATACTATTCAATTAAAAAATGAAGGTGAACTAAAATATTCTGATAAGAACAAATTAAAAAAAGATATAAATACATACATAAATGAAAATTCAACAATGACATTTAATTCTTCAAACGATAATAATGATAACTTACAATTTCAGAAAAAACCAAATAATAATGAAGATGAGTTTTCAATAAGTAAAGAAAAAGAAAATTTGTTAGAAGAAAAAAAAAATCCTTTAAAAAAAAGTAATAATAATTTTAAAATTAATAATAATTCGATACTTGAAAAAAACAAAGATAATTTAATGAATAATATTTACGATGATCATTATGGATATAACTACAAGGAAATTTTTTTAAAAAGTAATATTTTAGAAAAATCTGTTAGTTTGATATTGGAAAAAAGAAATATTAGGTTATCTTTAGTAGGACCAATAGAAAAAGAAGATTTAGAAAATCCTAGAACCACTATTTTAACGATGTTTAAACATTGTTTAATAGGAAATGAAAAATTACATAAAGACATTTTATTTATTATATTAACTACTGATAAATTATTCGATAACCATAAAGAATTATTTTTAGAGTTATTAAGTATTCTTAAATACGATTATTTAGATATTTATTTAACTAATTTAAGAAAAATAATTTCATCTGAAGTTGTTTGTTTAAAAAATAGAATACAGACATATGATTCTCAGAGTATTAATTTAAATAAGTTTAATTTTATTAATAATTATACTCCCAATTCTAGTAATTCCTATATAGATTTAGAAAATGATATATATGATGCAAATTCTCTTCATCATGAAAAAGTGGATGATAAAGAATATGAAGAAGAAAAAAAGCAAAACAATGAAGAGAATATATTTAATCAAGAGGAAAAATGTGAAATGAATAAAGAAAAAGAATTCAGATTATATAAAGAAGATAAAATTGAAATTAATGAAGAAAAAATATATGAACCTTTTGATGGAGATGAAAATAGAAAAAGTTGTATTGAAAATTCAAAAGAAGAAAGTATCTTAGATTCCCTATCAAGTGAAAAAGAAATCATAGAGAGTAATAAAATGCAACAAATAAAAATATTAGCTTCATCAAAATTAATAGAGTTACATAAAACTGTACAAAAAATCTTATTATTAGCAACCAAAAATAGGGAAGAAAGAAAAGTTGAAATTAAAGTTAAGTTAGAAGAATTAAAAAAAATAATGGATGTTTGTAAAAAAGATTGTGAAATAACTCTTAGCGATGCTGAGGGATCAAAAACACATTTAGAAAATATTTATGTTAAGGAATTAGATTTACTAAAAAGTAACATAAATAAAAAACAAGAAGAAGTAAATAAAATGAAAATCTCTATTGATAAATTAATAAAAAGAAAAAACGAATTGTATAATGAATATGAATTGGTATGCAAAGAAATAAATTTAAAAAATAAAGAATTATCTAAAGTTATATCAACCTTATCATTATATAAAAAAGATTTAAATGAAACAGAAGATAATTATTTAAATAAACTATCAAGTACAAGTAAAGAAAAACATATGCACCAAGAAAGGAAATTATATATTTTAAACTTACATAATATATCTAATGAAATTTTAAGCATATATGAAAAAAGTAATTATATAAATACTGACGAATTAATTACAAAGTCTAGTAAAATTCAAAAACCTTTAAAGCAAGTGATTATTCAACACTTAAATTATTTAAAAGACAAACTATTTTTATTAAACGCTTTATTAAAATTTTATGTAGAAAAGATTAAACTATTTTTAGAAAAGAAGATTCTCGTTAATAATTTGCCAAAAATAAATACAGATATGAAAGAAGAAGAAATAATAAATGATAGTAATAGTAAAAATAATCATTCAATTAATATTAACAGTGAAAACTTAACAAATGATATATATGATAAAGAAAATAAATTACAATTTTTGAAATATAAAAAATGTTATTTTAAGGTTATTGAGCAAATAAGCAAAGTATGGGTAATTATACAAGAGTTTTATATTCAAAATAAAAAACAAATAGAAGATTCTGATGAAACAAAATGTTCTGGAAAGTATATTTATAATGAAATTAATGAAATTTATAATTCTAGTAAAAAATTTATAATGGAAAATAATCAAATTATATCATCTGTTGCTTAATATAATATAGAGACATTAATTGTTTTATAAAAAAGTTTTAAGAATATATATATATTATTAATATTTATAGTCTAATTTTTTTTTTTTTCTTTTTTTTTTTATTATTTTAACATTTTATTTATACAATACTTATTATATATATATATGGATTTTTTTAAAAAAAAAAATATTTTCAGTTCATGTTTTCAAGGACATGAAAAGTATTTCTTTCCAATAATATATTATGTAAAAATTATTACATTTATATTATGTAATTATTAACGCGTATTTGCTTTTATTTATAATATACATCATTTAACATTTTTTTTTTTTTTTTTTTTTATTTAATCATTTAAAAACATAATTTATGCAATTTGTTTTGCATAATCTTTTAAAAAATGAATTTTTATTTAATATTGAATTAAATTGAAAAAAACTGAATGGTTTATTTATGTATCACATTAAGCCATATATGATATAAATCTACAAAAGAATTATAAAAAAATAAATCATAATTATATAGTAAAAAAAAAGTTATTTTATATTTTAAATGTTATACTTCCTGAATGCTTTAAAAATTTAATAATATTATAAAAATTAAATTTGTTTCTTGAATATCTAAAAATTTTAATTAAATCTTAAAATAATTATGAAAGTAAAATAATATTAATAAACTTGGGTATTTAAAAACGGTAAAATTCTAAAGGCAAAGAAAAAAATATGTATGTTCTGTAATTTCATTTAATTAAATAATGAGGAATAACAATACTCGAAAAAAAAAAAAAAAAAAATGCAAAACTAAAACAT